TATATATATATATATATATATATGAGATCATGGCTATAGCTGAGAAGGTAAGAAGGTGAGAATCCGATCCAAGAAGGTCAATTCCTTGTGTGAATAATGCCAAATATAGCCCGTACAATCCAATATATATTCCTATATTATTTTTTAGTTTTATTACGGGCAGAAATTTTTAACTGGCTATAAATAATTAAAGTTTAAATATGATATCGAAATTTATGGTATTGTTGTCTGAAAAGTATACTGATCCTGATGACGTAAGTTAAAATTTTAATGGTTGTTATTATTATTATTATTATAAATAAATAATGTAGATCGTTTTTGGTTAGCGGCAAGTTACTCGGTGAGTCTAAATTGCGAGGGTAAGTTATTTTTACTTTGGCAGAGGGTGGAGGTATCACAAGCATGTTAGATACCACCACCGAACCTTTTCGGGCGAACCAGAATATTCTTTAACGCTCTTATCATCATCTAGGTGTTTTGTTACATTTTATTTATATTGTTATTCTTTAATTTATTTGATTTTTTTTTTCTTATAAAAATTTAATTTTAAAACCAAAAATTTATAATATGTAATAAAAAAATTAGTATAAAATTTTTACAATTGAGAAAATAATTTCTTTCAATAACAAAAAATTAATAAATAAATGAAAATTCTAAAATGTTAGTGAAAAAGAAAAAATACACATTGATCACTCACGTTTGTCGAAAAAAAAAATTAATAAATAGAAAATCTGTTTCTGAGTAGATGCTTCTGTGATGCACGTTGACTCACAACTGATGTTACTGGTGGCAATAATCGTGAAAGCTTTACCGTCGAAATCACTCGAAATATCCCTCCTCTGTTTCCTCCTCAGAAGATTCGTTCGAAAAAAGCCTAGAGAATTCCTCGGGATTCGACGCCAATGTGTTACCCCAGCAGTAGCCTCAGCCTCTGCCCCTTGGCCCCTCAAGAACTTGGGCTTGCAACCAAAACCAAGATCTACGTGCAACAACATACGCAACAAAATGTATCTTTAGACGCTTAATCATGGAGATGGAGATGGAGATGGATACAACACACCGTGCTGGCTTAAATTATTTTATTTATCATTCGGTTTAGTTTATGGAATTTGGGAATTTGGGAATTTGGTGGGGGAGCTTTTTATTTTTTCCTCATAGAAATCATTTCTACGGCCTACTTTTCGGTACCAATTTTAAAAATGTAACCCGAGACTCTGTTTTATTTACCAATGTCCGCTCATTTTTCTAATAATAATCAAAAAACAATACAATCCCAGTTTAAAATTAAAATTATATCAAATCCTATTTTCAGTTAAACTTAAATTTATGTTTATTTTATTGTAATTGTATATTAATTATATTATATTATATTATATTATGGCCATACATGGCCAAAATCGGTAAAGAGAAAGTCAGAGTATATGTATAAAAATAACCATTAAAAAGAGGAAGAAAAAAAAAAAAAAAAATTAAATAAACCAAAGGTCATTTGGATAATAGTGTATGACGATGACGGTGACGATGTTTGCTATATAAATTCGCGGTCACTGACTATTTTGGCTTTTATTTAGTATATGGGGTTTCCTTTCCTGATTGCCTTGGCTTCTATGGATGTCATGGTCAATATGTCTTAGTCAGCTCGTTAGTTTATTCCTTAAAAGAAATCTACCAACCCAACTTTTATCTGCTCTCAATTAAATAAATCAATAATTTTATTTACTTTTACGTTTATTTGATTT